AGTACCGATCGAGTCATAAAATGTGATTATCGGCCGATACCGATCGATCAGTGCATCCCTACTTTATATATTAAAACTTATTTATAGAATTTAAATGCATAGTTTAATATTAATTGGCAGTTCACATAATATGTATTTGAATATATTATGACTTATATCAATAATTATAATTCATATATTATGAATATAATAAATAATTAGCAGCAAAAGACAGGCAATTTTGTATCAAAAATAGTTTTTTTTTTTTTTAAGTGAGCAATACAGGGGGAGTGGCTTTATTGCATCAGATATGTCACTTTACTCACAGCTGATTGGCCCAGTTTAAATTTGTGATCACTAACCCAGAATAAAACCTGCTGGGTAGTAGGGTTGTGACGGTGAGGAAATTTTCCCACCGGTTAATCGACCTGTGACAACACCGGTAATACCGGTATCACCATGGGGGCGGGGGCGTTCCCTCTTTTCCTCGCTTTCCTTCGCTTTTTAATAGCTTGTAAAAGCGGTGTGCTCATTTTACTTTCACTTTCAAATAGTGGCAATTTGGAGTAAAGCAATCTTTTTATTACTATAAAAAATCAAAACGACGGTGGGGGTCGGTAGGCAAGTGACGTAACCGGTGTTGCGGCTTAACACCGGTATCACCGTCTATCGCGGCAAGCCTACTGGGTAGCCGTGTAGCGTAAGTTATTAAAATAAAAAATGTTAATTGTGAGGGATCCAGTTACTATAATGGCGGCTGTATATTTCCATTTACAAAGACCAACAGAGTGAGGGAAAATATGATGAATTATATTTAACAACAAGAATGGACATATCTTTCTACCCAATGTTAATATGTTAGATATATAAATACTGTTTAAAGTGAGTGAAAAAAGTGATGTGACATGTGGCCAAGTAAGGTATCTAATATATTGATACTTAATTTCCATGATCTAAATATTCTTAAAAAATAAAAGTTTGTTGTCATTTGGAAGTGTGTAGGCCTTCTTGCATTATTATGCTGTTACATTATGATTATATATTCAGTGGCATAAAATGGTCTTTAAAATGACAATAATATCGCTTATCGCAATTATTTCTGGGGCAATATATCACACAACAAAAAGTTGTTATCGTGACAGGCCTACCTGTAAATACAATAAAACAAAATGATTCATCTCATGAGTTAGATGACCACATTTAACATATAATAATAATATTAAATTTAGTATATAACTAAAAAATAGTTAAACATTTCATTTTAATACCTTGTTAAATTCAATCCCCAAAGTTTAAAAAACCCTGTGTGAAAATATAATAGCATAGAAGTGAAAGTTTGTTTCTGCAATAACTGAGCCAAAATCATACGAAAGTTATAATTGTAAATTGAGATCTCAGATGTTATTTGAGAAGAAATTATGACTGAAGACTATGGTAAAAGACAACCTAACACTCTTGCTTTTGGCATGAAGACATAACCCAAACATTTCAATCATTATGATATCCTCAGGAGTGAGCACTGACAGTTAAAAAAAGATGTGATATCATGACGCATGACTGAACAGGGTTGATCTTAGCAGAACGCAGCAGACTTACAGTCAAGAACCATTTTCAGCTCATGCAGAAGAGTTCATTTGGCCACACTTATCCACACTAAAATAAAATATGTGGAGGGGCAAGAGCAGCCGACTCTACCTCACCTGAGTTAAGGATTTGTACAATATGAGCTCACTGTCATAAGGGCATAAACGAGCATTATCTATACTCTGACTTAGGGCTGCACGATTATGACAAAAATCATAATTGTCGATTATTCCCTTGAAATTGTCATT